GTGTTCCAGGACAAGGGCTGAACAGAGAGTCTTGGTTGGCATCTATGAAACTCCAGCTGGATTTACTCCTGATTTGTCCATATGGTGGGAGAGAGAGAAGTTTAGTGCCTGTCTGAACTAATCTAACAATTGCCTGCAGAAAGATGAATAAAGTGCATACAGCTAAATGCCTGTATGTACTTCAGCCTCTGAGCTCAAAGTGGGAACTAAAACCACATTTTAGGGTCAAAACCTCCCATCTAGAGAATAAAACCACAAATGAAAAGAAAGTGGTTTGTGGGGGTTTTTTTAGAAGCAATTATCTACTAACATTACAGATGTGCCAAAAAATATAAATTCGCTGTGCTATCTTTTACAGCAACAGAACAGATTTTAAGAGACCGTTAATTATGTATCTGCACAGTGCAGACATCATTATAGGCTATTGCATGAATCCCCAGCACAAAGGATGCTGCTTGTGTTCAGTGATTATAGGGCAGAGGAATGTTTGTCTCTCCGTGCTGTAAATTTATATGGTTTGTGTAACCAGAGACTGATATCTTTCCTTTTTTGAGATCACAAAACTGTTGCAGAAAGCAAGTCAGTTTTGACCATAAGCTTTGGTTGCTCTGAGTGCTGGTAAAGCACCTGGGCTGAGAAGTCTGCTAGTGACTATACATGATGCCCTGCAGGCCTGACAAACACCAGGCCCAAGGTGTCACATGCCAGAAAGCCCAGTTTAACTGGACCCAAACTTTTCAGTTTTCTACTTCTAGCAAAATGTCCTCTTTTCATCTCAAGTTCAAGTGGGAGAAGTTGCCACTTCAATATTTTTTTTCTGAAATTGGAAAGTGTTCCAGCGTTGCTGAATTAAGAAACATTTCCAAAACTGTAAGTGTTGATTTCAAGTCCAAGACTAAGCCGTGCTTTCACAGAAAGGCGGGAAGGAGACATATTGAATTAGTCTTCCCCCTAAAAATGGTACCTATCAAGGTTTAACCCCTACCTGAGTTACCTCCATAACATAGCAAGTCACACAACTCTCATGCTTGTTATACAGATTAAGCAGGAAAGGCAGTTTTTTTTTTTTTTTTTTTGGGGGGGGGGGGGGGGGGGGGGAGCGAGCGAGCGAGCGAGCACTTTAACATCATGAATTTATAGACCCCATTGCCTTATTTGGATGGAATGGCAGAGTCGCTACAGTCCTACCCTGCTCTCTCCCCTTTCTTTATGTGTCCTGGTCCCTCCTAGTAGTCTTAATTCGGACTAGAGCATCTCCAGAGGTCCCTTCCAACCTCAACCGTTCTGTGATGCTGTGATTCTCACTTAACCCTCTGTAAATGGGTCCTCAGTGCTTTGGGCTGCGCAGAGCAAAGGTGATCAGATGTAGCAATTCCCATATGTGCTGCTGCCTATACCAACTCACATGCTTTAACCGCAAGAGACCAATGTGCCACCCAGCTCCCGGGATATAGAAATGATATAGATATAGACCTTTGATATAGAAATACAGTTTAACGCCTCATTAAATAATTCTGAAGAACCAGACTGTGATTTAACAATTTGGCCAAAGACACAGAGCATAATCCTATTTAATTGCCAGTGAGGTACTGAAAGCCGTTTTCCCAAGGATTTTTTTGTTCTGGTGTTTGAATTTATGTGAAAAATGTCAAACCTTGACGTGGAGACACCCCCGTTTCTCGTCACCACCTAGCCAGGTTCTGCCTCAGCACTTATAACCCCATATACACACAGTCCGGGAGAAACAGCCTGCTGTATAACCCCCCCAAAGTTTGCTGCCTGCTACACATCCACAGCAGCATAAGTCTTCCTAGCTCTGCCATGAGAAATTGTCAACGTGCTCATATTATCCAACTTGCATATAGCTCCACCTATGAAAAGCTTTAATCCTGATAAGTGACACATAGTAAGGAAGAGAGGGCAAAGGTGATGGTAAACTGAGCAAATGATCATGCTGGTGCAGGTAATACTTAATTCCAGTTTCAATACACTTAAGAGCTTACTATTTGGGCATCAGAAGTTGGCTATCACTTTGAAGACAGCAGCATAGAAACCAGCCCCCAAGGTTCTTCTCGAAACCACTATACGCACCCCAGTGCTCAGATCCCAGCATTTTCTGGGCCAATTTGATCTGTCTCAGCCCTTCAGCTGGCTGCTACCAGGGGATCTAATCACCAGACCCACAGGCAACAGTTGCAGAAACTGAGCAGAGGCCGGTCACCGCCCCAGGCTGAAGGACAATATGACTTTTCAGGTACTTTCAGACTACTTACTTAGCACCCTTCTGCCAGAGTATAACTTCTGATCCGTTTGTTACCCAGGTGCCCCATTAGGGAGCGCTCCTCTCCTCACCTTAAAGCTGTAAATCCATAGTTGTACGTGCAAGGAATTAAGCTGCATCTTCAATTCACCTAAAACCATTCTAGATCATTGCCATATAGCTGCTGCTGTCCAACTCTAATTACAACACTGCTAGGGCCCTCTGGGATTTCAGTCCACTACGAAGGGACAGGCAACCAAGAGGGTAAAGAGATGTCGCAGCTTGAAGAACTGGGGGGAACCTCAAACTGCTGCAATTGCTATTGAGAAACCCACCACCATTTTCTGCATAATCACATATAGTTTTAAGAACATCTTGACACCGAATATAGAGTTTTCCATCTTTGAGCAGCTTCTCCTTCCCTCTCCACCTCCAGCCCACGACGGAGCCCATGTTTTAACAAATGAATTGGAATTGATGTTTCCTTTCACTTTCATTAGTGAGTTTCAGTAAAGGGAATCTCAGAAATCCCTTTGCTGGAATCCAGTGTCAGAGCGTCTTTTCAAGCGCAGAGATGCGGAGAATAACTTACCTCTGTCCTCCCCAAAAATATTACATAACACAGTATTAATCCGGGAAAGCAGCATAACCACAGAAGAAAAATTAGGTTCTAACACATTCTAAAACTACAAAAAGATAGCATTCATTAGGTGTGTCTGCCCTCTAAGCAACCTCAAAAAAAAAAAAAAAAAAAGACATTAACACCAAGGACAAGGAACACATCTAAGTGAGGACATCCAGCATCATTAAAGGACAAGCACTGTCTAGTAAGAGGAAAAAAAATAAAATAGATCTGCATCTGCTACTCTTGGTCCCACAAAATCAATGCTGCAAAGAACTTCCCTGATCAAAAAGAGCATCTAGAATTTATCCTACAAAGATGCCAGCAATTTTTAAACTGACAGCGCTGCCAAATCTACATTAGGACCTTAAGTAAAGAAAGATCATTTCATAAAACTTTGTGAGAAATCAAATAGTAACGTTAGTAATGTTAGGAAGAAAAAAACTTTTTTTCTAGATCAGATTATTTGAAATATTTATTCACGAGCCTACATGATATTGAATGGATGCAAATATACTTTCCAAAGAGATATTTTCATCAGCAGCATAAGGGGCTCTGACGATACTTGTCAAGGGCACGTCTTTGGGCCGCAACAAAAAGCTGCAAAAATTAAGCCTTTCTATCAGATCAGGTGAAACTGAGTTCCAGGCTAGCACAGACTACTTCACCAGGCTTGAACAGAACCGGTCACTTGCTACAGTGCAGCACCAAACCACTGGTTAGAATCAAGGTCATGTTTTTAAATCCATCCTCAGATTTCAAGACATGAGGAAGCATTTTCCTAGGGGACAACAGTCACTGTGTTTTACGGCCGTCTTCTAATACAGCTGGTGCCTCTAAAAGGGTTTCCATGGAGCAAACTCTAGCAGCCGCTTACTACACTTTAGCTGTCCTGGCAGGTCACACATGATGATGTGCGCAACACTGATGCGACTGACGAAATTCAGTCAGTTCATCAACAAGCTCTCCTATTACCCAAAAGACATGTTGTGGAAAAGCCCATCACCTCGGTGAGTTACTCTGATTAGCAGGCTCATTCGAGGAAGAGCTGCAACATCCTCACGTTCATCGGTGAAGAATCATACTCTTACGCAGACTGAGACTTTTTAGCAACGGTATTTCTCTAGTTAAAGGCCGTTTGGTCTTTTTTTTCTCCAGATTAAATCATGCACCACTTGAAAGCTGCACAGATCTAGTAAGAAATTCCTACTAGCTGTCATAGGTCTTATCAAATGATTTAACACTCCATGCCTCTCTTAACCATCTAGTGGCATGCTGTCAGGTTTTGGTAAATCACACTAAGGTGAGTAATACAGTATCCAGCCTCTGTATCCTCAGGCCTCTATCTTCTGACTGATGCCTTGCTGTGTATGAAGCATATTAACGCATATTGAGTGCAGCAGAAATACGACCTGTCCTTTTATGCACTTCTTCACGGCTTAGACCTAGGAACTGTAAATGTCAGCATCAAGATACCTGCTCATTGCTTCCAGTGGGAAGATAAATTGCAAAAGTGTTTGAGTGAGAAAACTAAAAACGCTTTTAAACAAATAGCAACACAAGTTTTTGTAACAGCACCTTTATGGAACAGAAGGTTTGCTTTAGACAAGTGCCAGGTTACATGAATTAATTTTCAGTCATCTGTATAAAAAAAAGCAATCTTAAGTTTAGTCCATCCTGAAAAAACTTGTAACACTCATTTATAGGCACTGTGATTAGGCTATTTCAAAGCAAAAGAGGGCTTTTCACTACAGAGCTAGGAGTGGTCAACAATAAAGACAACTTATGATATTCTTTACTGAGAATAATTCTCCGTCATTATGTCCTAAACCCTTTTAGATTTTAGAACACACAAGCAATGTAATGCTAGTTAAGGTTAAAGAGGAAATTAAAGTCATGTAAGCAAAAGCCCAAATCCTCTTCATAGTTACAGACCATTTTGAATGTACTTTTGCACGGAAAATTTGACTCAAATTTATGAAAAAAATTCCATCTCTTCACACAACAAGAAGCAGAATTCCTTACCAGTAGGAGACTACACTGTGCACGGCTCATCAGCCTTCAAAAGGAAGTCTGGACTTCAGGCATATTCAGCTATGTAAATCAACAAGCAACTCCTTCAGATTCAGCAGCTTTGGTTTAATGGACGGAAACCGTGGCCTACCGTTCAAACAAATGTACTTGCCAACAACAAACAAGTATGACTTTATTTTAAAAATAAAGTTTGATAGGTGCATAAAGACAGTGCCTTGACCCTTAAAAGCATCTCTAGAAGTGACTTCAGTTTAAAATGGGCAGTGCTTAAGTTACAAAAGAATCAAACCTTCAAGGTCGATTGATTTTCTTTATGATGATTGAAGAAATGGCTCTGCTTCAGGAATTCAGAAGGTGAAGCACGAGGTCAGCATTGTATTTATTAAGTTGGTGTGATTTACAATCAGGTGATCATGTCTGAACCGAGGAGACATCAAAACAGGTTTAGCCAAAAGGTTTATGGCTTCAAAGTCAAATTCAAAGACCAGAGTCAGTCATTTGAGCAACTGAAGATTAGCAGACAAAAGATAAGCGGAGGCCAGGTGCTGCACTGGTATTTTGGAGACAGTATTCCAAAGGGTCTTCTCTTACAGCAATTTCTTCTTCTCAAACTCCTGCAACAGCACACAGACATTCCAGGTGGAAGAAAATAATATACTTCTGTTACTCTCATGTTTTAGATTACACTGGAACTCTTGACTTCAGAAACTAAAAACTGTAATTAAAACCTAAAATGAAAACCTACTTTGTGTGCAAGTTACAGAGAAAGCAGGAAAAGTATTTTCCCCACCTCTAATAAGCAAACTGGCTATGAAGAACCAGTAGCACTGTATTGCAATCATTGCACTGCATCTAGACTGCAGTGCTGTCAAGCAGCTCTTTATCCTAACAGGCTTGAAAAACACTAATTCTGCATAAAAACTGTAATAGAATGTTTATAATAAAGAATTCAAGCCAGAGAAGCAACAAAGTCATTAGGATCTCCATTTCAGTACAGGAAAAAACATAAAAAAGATTCCCACAATAACCTGTGAAGATGCTATACTATATAGGCACCACAAGAAAAAAGAAAATAACTTGCAGCTGCATTTCCTCTAGCCGTGAAGAAATCTTTTCTTTTTGGAGGCGAATTAAGAAAGATCAAAAAAATCCTACTCTATACAGAAGTTTACTAGCCGTATGCATTCAGCCATGATTCTGAATTAGCACTTAAAAGAGACATACCAATATGCCTAGGCTTTCCTCCCTCAAATATCCTACTTGCAGAGTGTTTTCTCATTTAAAATTAATACAGGTTCTTTGCCTCCTCTGACAGCATCAAGAAAACACAATTCAACAGTTGATACCTTTGAGAGCAAAATGTAATCACTTCCACATTTGGCTGTGTTTACTTTCTTATAGAGGCAATATTACATAAAATTACTCATGCATAGCATCTAAATAACATCTGCAGTAATAACTGCAGCTTGCTCAGTCAATCGAGCTCTTACACTTATCTGAGTTAGAAGCCACAGCTTATTTGAGTAAAAAACATATTCTCAACCCCTCTTCCACCAAAAAGTAACTCCTATGTATCGTTCTGGATATAAGTACACATACCACAGTTTCCAAGTAACTAACCTTGTATATGGTGCTGCCTAGCTGAGCAGGAGACATGCTGACCACAACACCAGCGCTTTGAAGAGCGGCTATCTTCTCTTTGGCTCCACCCTTTCCCCCAGCAATGATTGCTCCAGCATGACCCATCCGCCTGCCTGGAGGAGCGGTCAGCCCAGCTATGAATGACACTACCGGCTTGGCATTTGGACCCTGCGGAGAAAGAAAATATACTGTGTTACATGGCGGAGGGTGAGAAGTCGACCAATTCTAGCTGGCTGATTTTTTTTAAAAAAAAAAAAAAAAAAACACCAACTAACCAGGAAAAGATATCAGACAACTAGAAACCTCAGACAATGTGGAACTACTAGTCTGGGTGGATTACTGTGTGGAATACTTCTCGTTATAATCCAAACAAACCAGAAGTAATCATGGTTTTAAGACATCGTTCTACAGAGCAGCGACGTATATTACAAAAACCAAAAATGAACAGAAATACGCACACCACAACACCACTGTGTTCAGTACAAACGTGAGGACTAAGCATCTAAAGCTCACAACTCCTTCCAGTTAGGTTTAATCTGGTTAAAGTCCCTCCTAATTTCAATTCTTTCTATAGAATAAAATTATTGTTTGCTTTTGTATAAACACACATTGAGACTGAATCATATTTTCCTTGACATGGTAAGAGAAGATGACAAATTATCAAGGTGTTTGGAAGCAGAAGGCAAGTTTTAAGACATACAGAATTATTTTCTTTCAAGAATGTTGCTGCATCTTCTTCAGCATTTCCTCCAATTTCCCCAATCAATATGATCCCCTCAGTATCAGGATCCTTCAGGAAGACATCAAGGCAGTCAATAAAATTAGTTCCATTGAAGGGATCTCCTCCAATCCCTGGGGGGGGGGAAACAAAAAAGAGTCACTCAAATTAATGATATTCCATTTATGTTAATTCTGTCAAAGCACACTTCAGCACGAAGGGTATTCCTAAAGACTGATAAGAGGGAAAGCTCTGAAGGAGCCATCTTGCTTAACATATTCAGCTAAGTGTATAAGAATGTCATATCCCTTCACAGAGTATTTAACTTCTTAGGACAACTTATTTTTCATACTGACTTCACATCTGTTGACAGTGCTCCATCAAAACCTTTCTTCTAAGCTTTTTATTAATTTGACATGGAAATCATAACAGAGAAGGGTTATACGGTTATCTTCTTCACAGCACATAGGAATCTAATTTCTTAACAGAATAAGAAGCCATTCAGCAATTTCTAGGCTTGTAAAAAGAAATTACTTTCAATTTCTTCTTGTAAACAAAAAACAGATTAGTCCAGGTGTAACAGGCTGTTTCTGAGGAAACCTACCGACACAGAAAGACTGCCCTAATCCAACTTGCGTTGTCTGATGAACAGCTTCATACGTCAGGGTGCCAGATCTTGACACGATACCTTTAAGGAAGAAACGGACGTGAGTTTAACACTAGCATAGCTAAGTGCATGACTAGAGGCAGCTGTTCTTATATTCAGGAAAAATGCGTTAATAAACTAAACATGAGCTGCCAGATTGTCCCGCTATCCTTGCAAAAACATGAGAATTCGATATAAATTGAGATCTGTACTATTTCTTGGCTGGCATTTTTGACATTCAGTTGTCAGCTGTTTACAGCTACCCAGCAAGCCAGCTAATACTGCTGAGACAACATTTCTCACACTATAGCTGTACCAGCAGAGAATACGGAAAAAAAAAATCGCTAGAAGAATATACTTCTCATCTTGTATGCAAGTAGCTGGTATACTGTACTTGGAACAGGGCAGCAGCTCAACAGTTGCAAGAATTCTGTATTAATCACATCTGCAGTATGGCCAGGCACTTGAAAGATCCTCCAGAATGGAAAGACACTGCATAGACAGAAGTAATCTTATTTGTTGCTGCAGCTCATCGCTCTATTATAGTTATTTAATGTTTGCATTACAGTATTATCAGAGGCCACCACCTTTACCAGGCTTCATTGTAGTAGATTTCATACAAAGTTAGTTATGCATTGCATACTTTTAAATTGAGGAAAGAAAGTAACACAGAGGTGGGGGGGAGGCGTAGAGAAAAATATTGACATGTTTTTTCCAAGTTAGGCTATCTGTTAATACTACCAGAAGGAAGTTTCCTAGAAACAAGACGTTTCCACCTCTACCTGCATCAATCCATCTAACATGCAATGTAATTAATACATTGCATGAGCAGAGGAAAAAATGTACAACTGTACTAACAAGTTTAGTTCTATCAAGGCTACATATTGTTGAATAGGGCAGACATCTACTGGCAATTTTTTTTTTTTTTTGCTACGTTTGCAAGGGAATTCCTATTTACTAGTAAGATCAGATTGCCTGACAGAAGCTACAGATAAAGGTCCAAAGACTGTGGCTTTATAGCTTACATCCCAAGATTATCAGATGATCCTTGGGTGCCTGACAATAACAGAAAGCTGGGGAGCATATCACAAAAGGTCAGAGAGGAAGCTGGGAAGATGGTAAAGTTCATATTTTTGCTTCATGATACTTGGACCACCACTGAAAATGTTTCCAGCAGTAGCGGAGCAAGTGGATTCAGGATTTAAAATATTCTTTGCACTTGATGTGCCTTGCATTTGGCTTCTAATACGCTGTGAGCACAAGAAATTTCTTGTAGACATTTAGAAAGTCGTTTTAACAGAATTTTGATTCTGAAGGGAGCTCAAGGCATTGCCAGTTGATGCTAGCTTTTATAGTCATAGAGCACTGGCTTGATGGTATCCACAAAGGGCATAATTGCAGTTGTCTTTGATTTCTCAATTTCAGGTTTAGAGGTATTTTTGAGAGCTGTAGGTGTGACCTGACCGCTAATGTTTTGCCTAGCATTCACTAGGTACAGCTTATTCTCAAGTCAGAAGTGGCCAAGTAGCAAAACCAGTTTCTGTTTCAGAACTGTACTGAATCCCCTTAGTTCTAGTGTGCTGAACAGCTTTCTCCACAGCAAATCCACTTTGCACTGAAAAAAGTGATAACATTGCCAAGAATACCGTGTTTAAGTTAAACTGGGTACGCCGCTGAGAGATACTGGCAGCGTACCCTGTCTACAATAATGTTTATGAAGTTCCAGTTATTAAAGTACCAATACGTGTTTTGGAATAATTTTCTTTAAAGCTCCTACATCACATTATTTTTAAAATAACAGAGTTGCCCTTTCTATGGTTTAGGACAAGGAACCAAAAGAAGTCTGGACTCAAGGCTTACACGCAACACAGTGTGTAATTAACATCTGATCGTGGCTACATCACTACCTTTCCGATCTAATTCTCACTCTATAAGCAGTAGGTATAATATTAGCCACTGCCATCCACTACGGTATAATTGCCTAAGTTCTCACGTTATAAAGTTCTCTGTAATCTCTTTTCTTTGCTATAATACTAAGCTCGCTATAGATGTAGGATCCCAGTACTTAGCAGCCAAGCTGTCAGAAGGATTAGCATTTGGGACTCAGTGCTCTCAAATCCCAAGATTAAAAGAAGTATGCTCAAACAAGAGTGTCAAGGAAACTAAGTCCTTTACGTTGCCTAAGGAATCCTTTCCAATACCTGTGCTACCACCATTAACATTCAGTGCCTGCTACAGTAGACTGACAGACTTTGGCCTTCAGGATTCATAATGGCTAAGTTCACTTACAAACTGAAGGACAGACAAGCTCTTACACAGCATATTAACTGTCTTCAGGGTAGGATGTGACTAGACTGCTGAATAAGAGCAATAAGGTACAAAACTTTAGTTTTAGATGATGCATAAGTATACAAAAACTCACCAATTCTTCCCTTCTTGTGAATGTGACCAGGCATGATACCAATTTTACACTCGCCAGGCTAAAGAAAGAGTGAGAGACATCAGATGGAACATTGAAACCATCACTACGAATGGTTCAGCCTTGGGGCAAATCCAGAAGTCACTTACATTGATGACTCCAGGGCAATTCGGGCCCACCAGTCGAGTCTTATCCTGTCGAAGCAGTCTATGTTTAACCCGAACCATGTCCTGCTGGGGAATACCTTCAGTAATGCATACAACTAAGGAGATTTCTGCGTCAATTGCTTCGTTAATCGCAGCAGCAGCAAAGGGAGGGGGTACATATATAACAGTGGCAGATGCACCAGTTTGTTCTTTGGCCTGAAATGGGCGACAACAAAAAGATATGAAGCATTTAGTGGGCCCAAAGAGAACATGTTACAAATAGCCTCCCAAAATATGTCTATCCATAACCACAAATGAAGTAAATCGATATATAGTCATTTACCACAGACAAAGCAACCGTTCAGTCTCTGAAGATGGACACACACAGTGCAACCAGGGAGCTGAGACGTAACCACTCTCTAGAAGGGACTCCCCCGCCAAACCACGGCTAGATAATAGTTTGCTAAAAATTCATCATACACACCGGAATCAATCAGAAACTAGTTACATGCATACCATAAGAATATCATGGGGGGTATCCAGACTCTGCATGGACTTTACAGCGGAAGCTAAACTCATGCTCGACCATAGTGAACGTTCACTCTGTTACAGAGCCTCTATTCTTACACAATGATAGTCATGGTTCAAATGTTTGTTTATTTAAAGTGTGAGTAATAAACCAAGGAGCCCTTCTGGAGCATTAGCTCTTGGAATAAACTGTGCCTGCCCCTCCAGTCATTGCTGCAAATTACCTCCTTCACAGAATTAAAGACAGGCAGACCCAGGTGAGTTTTCCCTCCTTTTCCTGGAGAAATTCCGCCAACTAGATTGGTGCCGTAGTCCAATGCCTGCTGGCTGTGAAAGGTGCCCTATGAGGAAGGATAAGTAAAAAAGTTAAGAGGTGTGCAATAGCAAATAAAGCATATCAAAAGTTTTGATTGTATCTATAATTCTGAAGGCAATTTATGGCACTTAAATTTACAATGAAAAGACACGATTTTACTGCAGATATGCAATCAGCTGTTTTGCAGAGCACATCAACAAGTTTTAAATGGATTCAGAATGTGCTATGCCTTTTTCTTTTAAAACAGAGCACTGTGGCTGCACACTAAAGCATGACAGTTTGCTCTGCGTTCCTAATACACCTCCAGACATAGCAGTCATTTTATTTTCCACGTCAGTTCTGGCAGGTGACAAACATGATAACGAAGCAGAAGAAATTAGTATTCTCATCCACAACTAGTTGATACTTACAGCAAAAGCAGTCTTATTTTCATGCAAATGGATAAACGAGTGCGTGTGAGAAAACAATTAAATGTACTGAAATAAAAACAGAAATTATAAATCTAGATTTTTTTCAGAAAGAATCTGTAACAGCAACACATTATTGCAGCGATAACAGCACTTAGTGAAAACACTAAAGAAGCTAAAAAGCCTGTTGACGGAATACGAATGTGAACTTTACTAGTAAATGGGGGATTCCAAATTGCTGCAGAAAATTGAAAATACGAAGAAGATGGAACGACTGCAGGTGGCAGCCTCTTGAGAGCAAAGCTCAAATTAATTCTTACATCACTGAACTAAATGAAAATGCATTAAACAAAATATGAATGCTAACCAATGACACGTGGGTCTACAAAGTAGCCTCAGCACTGTCCATCTGCTTCATCAACGAAGGATATTCACTCCTTTTTATTCAAAGGTATGTGTGAAAAAGGTACATCTAAAATTGAAAGATTTTTGCAGGGTTTTTTTTGTTTTTAAACACATCTTCCTTTACAAAGAAATACTTTTGGTCACATACAATAAAAAAGCCGAAGACCAAAACAAAAAAAACAGTAATATAATAGGAACAACACAAAAACAAGTTTTCAGCTTGAGCACAGGGGGGAAAAAGTTACCTGGTTAACGGAATTTAAGAAAGAAAAAAAAAAAATCTATTTGAACAAAAGAACAGAAAACCACAGAGCTGAAGGGATCTTCCTGATCCCAGAGTCCAGCTTCCTATCGTGACAGGCAAGAACAGCCTAGAATCCCTTTCATAGGTTATTACGTCTTTTGGCTAACTAAGTTTCTGCGCTGAGAGGGTGACAGAAGACATAATTCTTATACGTACCTGTTTGCCTGTAAAACCCTGACAGATAACCTTTGTGGTTTTGTTAACGTACAGATTCTTCCTTGACGCTGAGTAGGAGCAGTGTCGTACTCCATTCTGGTGCACTATAGAAAGAAAGAGACCAAACCATTACTCTACTGCTTTGCTATATTCTCAGTTCATCCTCCCGCAAGGCGTTACCGCTATTAATAAACAAAATTACAAAATGCCTTATGAAATAACCACTTGCATATTTAAGCTTACATCAAAAGATGAACTGATCCAGTAGTTCATATTTTTAAAAGCAGCTCTGAAAGTTGTATTTATGACTTGTTATTCGGAGGTACTAAACATCTGTAGTTCACTTTGCCTATCAGGGTGATAATTCAGTTTGCTAGGACTCAGGGTATGTATTTCCCATATGGAGTACTTAATATCAGAACCATTTTTAAGAGGGTTTATGGATCAGTTTCAACTTCATTCGTGGAAGAGCCGTAGTTGAAGATGCTCTCATTCCTAAGCTGGATAGAGTAACAAAGCCTATGAACATTGCTAGTCTGATTTAACACAGAGTAAATAGATCAGCTCAGAATACAGCCTGAAGCCTTACATAAAGGGGTTAAGCTATGCTGTTTCATTCTGCCCTGAAAAGATCAAACTTTTTAGGAGCATGGTTTATGCTTTACCTCTTTCCCAAGAAAGCGAAAAGGAAAATAAAGCTGTGCCAGAAGAAGCCTGTGGACATCAATGCTGTCCCTAAACCTGAGGTCCTGACAAGAAGACTGCCAGCAGAAACCCAGGGCTTCATCTCCCACCACCTGCAGTTCTCTAAAGAACTGTGGCGGAAACTGATGTTCAAATCAACACACGATAATCCAGCTACATTTTAAAAAGGAATTTACAGAACGACATGCAGTAAACTAATCTATAACACAACTGTCGAAAGGGCCTGCAGGGTTTTAACCTAAATCACATCTTTATCTATTTGACTGATACCTACTGAGGTCACATACAACATGCATATTACATATACTGTTAAAGAACTTTTTAAGCAAAGGAGAAAAAAGGAGCAGTAACGGACAAAATCTAAGATTTAATTAACACAGTTCTGAGGCTGTCTGTAGAGTTAAAAAGTCTTGCTGTTCAGTGTCACGAGTACAAAAGAGAGCAGAGTATGGTCTTTAAAGGGTGCTTAGCCAACAGGTTATCTTTCCCAGAGGAGGCTGGAGGCCAGCTCTACACTGCAACACCAAGGTACTCAAAAGAAAGACTGGCATAGCCTGCCTCAAGCAAAGGAGAGACAAATTAGAGAAAGAAACAGCCAGCCTGCTAGTTAGAGGAACACATCAGTCTGCTGGATCTCAGCCGCTCGGGCCATGCCTCACGGGCATGGGGTGCGACTAGGATAAAACAACACTGAGAAAAGCGGAGAAAAATCCTCAGCCAAAGAAGCCGTTACGTTCATGACCAACCACCAGTGATACCTTGTGGAGAAGAGTTTAGGGTCTGGACTTTCAGAAGCAATGTAAGCATATGTTCTGAAAGGCCTCTGATGGGCCTTCAAGAGCAAAGAAGAAACAGACTAAACTAAACTAACTCAAATCTAAGTTTCACATATACAGTCTTCGCTCCAGCATTGACAAATTCACCTGCGCATAAGAGAAAGGTCACCGCGCATAAGAGAAAGGTCACCCATCTTATAGCTGCTCAGTAATCTTAGTATTTCGAAAAAGAAAAAACACTTTGGCAAATAGTCACTTATATCTCCGTAGCATAAAAGCAATTCTGCAGTTCAAGTTCAGCTGTCCATTCCATATCTATTTTCAGATATTTATAAGCTTTCACAAAAATATTTTTGAAAGCTTAAGTTTCTCAGTTCTCAGCTTTATTAAGAAGAATATATAAAGATATTTTTAAAGGAAAAGAGGCTTTTGAGCCTTTTTAAAGCTATCAAAGTACAAAAAAAAAGATTTATTTTTATGCACTGATATCTAAAAAAGACCTTAAATTCCAAGCTTTTTTTGATTTACCCCTGAAAATTTTTATGTTCTTTTTACACAGCTGAAGAATCTTGGTTCAGAGAAAATGCAATTGGTTCAAAAAAACCTGTCTACAGGCTTGAGCAGTTTGCTTTCTTCATGCAAGCAGCTTGGCACAGATACATGTGTATTTTATAAGAAATGAACAAAGTCACTTTGCATGTTCTAGGCTGGATTAGTACAAGAGAGATTTAAAAAAAAAAAAAAAAAACTGACATGATACAGCTCCATGTTTCTCTCCATAGCCTTGTCGGAAGTAGAGAAGTTTGACCCTAGTTATCAACACAGCAGGAACAGTAGAGGCTTATGGTCAAGATGAGGTTTTGCTAAATGTGGCACAAATGGCAAGTCCCCAGTGCAAACAGCTGGCAATTTAACTAGCAAGACAGATATGAGATGAGAAAGAAACAGGTGGAAAATTGGAAAGGCACGCCTAAGTTCACAGCAGGTAAGAGTCAGAAATAGAACCCAAGTCTCAGTTTCCAACTAGGATCTTCATTCACAAGCTCGTACTGCTTCAAAATCTGTCTGACTGTAAATGTGTGTCCCATTTAGAAGGCAGGACAGAATAATTATTTGCCCTTCTTGTTACCAGGCTTCAACCACAAGCCAGTAAAAGCCAAGCTTACGGCTGATGCTGTTTTAATGCACACCTTTAACTCACAGGCAAAGTTACAAAGGTGCAGGTTCCAAATGAAGCCCTACAGCATAAGGACAAGTCTTACGAATTCCACGTCTTATCAAAAGCACAGTGGAAATACTGTGTTTTGTCAAATCAGAGGTCTAACATAACATTACGGTGTCCAACAAAGGCCTGTAATACAACTTTAGAAAATAGCATTAAAAAATAAGGCTAAGGACTGGATAGTCTTTCCCAGGCAAACCCTTTTGCTTCTATCACATCTCTATTCCATTTTGTATAGTTTGTGGTTTAAAAAAAAGTTATGTAAATAACAAGATACATTTATTTTGGCTTTCTAGTACTTTGACATATCTAAAAAGATACATATGGTAGCAGGAAGCTGTTTTAGTCCGCTGTACAGGACAATCAAGTAGAAAAAATATTCAACTACTAAACCTTGTTGCTGCAGAATAGATTTGAAAAGTGAAATCTAAATTTAGCAAAAAGACAAGCACATATATAAACGTTAGCCATTTTACAGCAAAGAAACCTCACTAGGAATAGAAACTAAGAGACAGCACTACCTCCAGCACGCTCCCGGTTCGTAGTTGCTCTAGGATCTGCAGAAGAACAAGGTCTCAACTGAGCCCCTGAAGTCACCGCAGTTCAAGCAACAGGAAAACCCAGCTACATTTACCTCTTAGAAGAAAAGTCGCAAGAGTAACATATAGCCTTGAACAGGGCTTTAAGCTCATCTGTGTATTACAAGGGGGAAAAAAAAAACAACTTTCTAGAAAAATATGCCATTGCTTTTCATTAAGTCTAAACTTTAATTTATCTATTAAAAGTAAAATTAACACATTTGCAAGGTATTTTAAAGCACATATAAGATGTAGACCCTGTTTACACTGAGCTCTCATGCGCTCTTGTAGCATCAACACTTCCAGAGCACAAATCTAATTTGAGCTGATACAGCCCAAGGTACATTTGCCCAGCTTCTTTGGGTTGTAAGAGCTAGCAGGCAGTACTGATAGCAGAGCTAAATCTCTTCCATATTCAGACTTTACAGAGTTGAAAATTTGTTATTTTCTTCCTCTTGCAACATTCCTTACAGCTATGGACAGGAAGTCAATCAAAGTGCCTCCCTCTTGCCCACTTTTATCCTAGACCAGTTAAAAAAAAAAAAAGTTTGGAAGGTGAGGGAGCAACTGAAAGTATCTACCACATACCAAGCACAATACTGAAGCAAGGTGGAATAGCAGTGATTCCTTTCTAGCTGGTTTGAGCAGATACCCACATTGCCAGGGGACTGCCAAGTAATAAATGGAACTGTCCCTCTATTGCTCCTTGAAATATCCAAACAGCTTGGAGATGAAGGAAGATATTCCTTCTCCTTTTCATTACCTACTTAAGGAAAGAAGGAGCTTCAGAAGACACAAGGGCTCCAACACAAATGATAAAAACGGAGCTCAGAGAAGGGGATAGACAGGGAAGGATTCAGATACAAAGGCAGTCAAAAACACTAGAAAGACAGACAGACAGACAGACAATCTTCAGCACCACACTTATTCTCCATAGTTGCAGACCTTCAGTTTGTTTCTGAGAAGCCCCTTCAATGTTTGTACAGGCCATTTAATTTGCATTTTTAATGACCCAACTTCTTTCCCATTTCTCTCTCTACAAATGCATGGCCTGTAGAGGATATAACAGAAACTGTTCTGGACAGCTTCTTACATTACAGAAGACAATGAACATTAAAAAACAAAAAGATGTTTAGCAAAGAGCAAAGCACTGCAGCAAATTTCAAAGTTTACTGACTTAGAAGCTTGACTCAGCACTCGGTTTCTGCTCCCATTCCTTTATTACTTGTGAATCTTTGTTATCAGATCACACATATACTCACCTACACAATAACATTTTGGATAATTCCTTCTTTCCCCCTAAATCTACCTACGGAATTCACCTTTAAAGGTCTGAATTGTGCTATTAGAAAGCTATTCTTATTGACAAAAAAGCTGTCATGCTATTGAGGGATTACTCAAGGTATCTTACTCTTGGTCTTAAAGAGGATGATGTGCTCAGAGAAGGAACTCTAGCTAGCATCCCCCGACCTCTCTTCTCTCATCCTTCCCTTGCCAAACAAATTCCAGTTTATCACAGAAAGTTCAAGCTATGAACACAGCATAGGAGCCTAGGAATTAAGTAAGCTAACCAATATGTAAAGCACAGATGCAATTACTATGCTATGCCTATCACATTAAACAAAACTAATAGGCAAAATGACAACTAGAAAAATTTCAGTTCTTTCAACATACATCTCTTTCCTAATCGAAAATCCCCACTCAAAGCAATATACATTACCAGCCACATGGGATGAGGAAAGCCAATGGCATTTGAAAGAGCAGCTTTCTCCCAAATCAATTAAGTTTAAGCAGTGTTAAGCATCTCAGAGAAAGGGCCAGCCCTCCAGGAAACGG